TTCCTCCCTTTTTTGAAGATGGGAACCACGTTGGCCCTCTTCCAGTCCTCCGGCACCACTCCAGAGCACCATGAGTGCTCGTAAAGCCGTGCCAGGGGTCCTGCAATGACCTCGGCCAATTTTTTTAGAGCTCTAGGGTGGAGAACATCCGGACCGGCTGACTTGAATACGTCCAGCCCCTCCAGAAGCTCCCTAACTAATTCTGTGTGTGTGTGTGTGTGTGTGTGTGTGTGTACACACCTTTTTTCAGAAAAGTTGCACTGATATTTTCAGCTATTGTAAAGTAAATTTATACCTTTTACCAATAGAAAAAGAGGTGAATAAATAAGTATATGTTGGAACATTCTGATGTTATAAAGAGTTCTCTTTCTGTACATGTACACACGTGCGCGCACGCGCACACACACACACACACACACACACACACACACACACACCTTTCTAGGCAAAGGGAAAGACAGACCCTTGTTCTGAAGAGCTTACAGAATGTTTTAAAAACTAATCAAGATGCTTTAAAAGCTACAGGAGTTGTACCTTTAAGTCAAGCCCTGTTCTGTGGAAGTAGTCATGGTAAATTATCACTTTGCATACAAATCAGTTCATCAGATAACTGTTTGGGCTGCCATAAATTATTGATGGATTAACAAAAATTGTCTTTGCCTTTACCAATGGAGGACTACAGGGAAAATGGTCCGTTTGTGGTAAGATTTATCTTGTAATTTTTTTCTGTTAGGAGGGTGCTGCCTGTAAAAACCAGTACAATTTAACCTATGCATGCTATCTCAGCCATAAACTCGTATCTCAGTTTTCCTGCCAGCTGAAAAATCTACTACTGACACACAGCATTTTTCAAAGTTCCACCTACATGTTATGTCTTGGACTTTTCAGATTTGAATTGCAAAGGGACAAAAAATACTTAGGCTTTAAAAAAGCCTTTACTCTTGAGACCTTCTTCTCCTGTTACCCTGTTAGGCTCTTGTTTCCACAGTGTCAATAAACAGGAATGACCAAAAGCTGAAAATTTAGACACTGAAGCACCCATAGGAACCAGGGGGGCAGCCCTCAGTGGTTTGTGCCATTTCCTGCATCCTAGATTTATTTTCATTTTGACTGCTGTTGGCAAGGAACTCCCAAGACCTCTCAGCAGTTTGGTGGTCACTCAGGCTTTCAGTGTTATGCTCAAGCTTCACAGCATTCTACATCCCCTGTATCTTTTCTGGGTCATATTTGATGCCAGTTGTTTCAGATATCCTCAGGAGGGTTTGATTGTATGTCTGCTCCAGTAGAGCATCTATATGTATTTATATGATTGGTGTACTGACAACCTGATCAATTTTTCCTTTGCCTACATAATGGGTGCTTCACTGAGACATTGAGAGTCTCCTGTTCCTCATCTTCATTGTCAAAATTAGGCTTGGACATCTTTTATCATAGGAGCAATGGACTTTTAGCTTATATATTCCAGTGTAGAGCATTTGCCAGGGAAAAAATGAGCTAGATAAAGGATATAAAAGCCAAAAAAAGGAGACAGGTACCTAATGAGTTTTCAAAAGTGCTTAGATGTTCTTGAGTTCAATGGGGTTAGACTTATGGGTGCTGCTTTTGAAAACACTGCTATGTGTTTGCATCTGGAGGTGCCTAAATACCTTGTGTCTGTATATTTTTCCTGAGAGATGAACACATTTAACCTTCACTCACAGAACATTGTGTCATCTCCTATTTTGTTCCCATCTTCAAGAGCCTGTTGTCTTCTCAGTCATAAGTTTCAGGATGGAGAATAGAAGATGACACAGAAACTTCTAAAAATGTTCCCTACCCTGCCATACTACAGCTATTTTTGCAGGCAGGATTGTTGAATACATCAATTGCTGGGTCAAAGATTATGATTAGCTTGGGTGCAAGATCTGCCCTTATGCCATTTAGTCCTGAAAGGAGCATCTCTTGGAAGTCCTTTTGACTTCTGATGCAGCTGTTAAGTTGGACTTGCAGTCCATAAATTCTCATGATTCAAACTTCTGTGCTGGCCATTGGAAGAGCACTTTATCAGCTGAAGTCTAGCAAAAGGATGCTCTGATTTTGCATAATCACTTCTCTTCGTTGCTCCTATTGAAGCATCCTGCAATACCTGAATTATTTGTGGATAATGGCTATTTTTTATGCGACATTCCAGCCTCTGTAGCAAGAAAAGAATAGATGGTAATGCTGAAAATATTGACACGCTATTGTATGCAGAAGTAGTGCACCCTCTTATATTGTACTATGTTTTTAGCTCTGGGTACCGCACCTTAAAAGGTATACAGGAGAAAGAGAGAAGAGTAGTAAAAAGCAACAGAGTGGGTGGAAATACAGACAAAATCTCACATTAGGAGAGCACGGTTTGAAAGGAGGAAAAATAGAGCATATGATAGAAGTATATAAAAGAAATTATATAAAGAAGTTCAGTTGGGTATTTGTTTTTATTTTTTAATAAAACAAATACGAGGATGCCCAACAGAATTGAAAAGTACTAAATGCTTACTAAATGATAAATGCTTCTAACTCACAGATGCATTTGACCATGAGAACAAAGCAAAGAGAGCTCCTGACTAGTAGAAGAAAAATAGAGCTGAATTATCATTTTTGCTTGTTAGAAAATGAAATGAAACAGTCAAGATTAGACAATGGCTTGGCACAGAAGAGAAAAGCAGCCAATCCAAAGAGAGGGGAAGAGAGTGGAGTTAATTGGTGACCAGAACTCTAACAGCATAGTGGAGGGTTTCATGGAGAACAAAAGGTAAGATGATTTAAAAACAGAAGGAAGAGTGAAAGGAAAATGACAGCTAAGGGAGTAGTGCTGTTAGGAAGGTTTTGGGATGTTTGATCACTGGCAAACTTTTATGTACAGAGGATTTTCTCCATATATTGACTTCAGTTGAGGAAGTGAGGAAACCAGAATTTTGTGATCAAGGTTAATGTGATTGATAAGAGATTGATAAGTAATTCAGGGAGAAGGTTGGGAGAAACCCAGTAACGTTCACAACAGGAATAAACATACAACAGGAGGGATGCTGGGTAAGTAACGAAGAGGCTAGAGGATGATGCACTGAGGATTGGAAGTGTAAGAAAAATAGTAGCAACGTCAGTGAAAATAAGTGAGTAAGTATTAGCTACGCCTATTCCAATTGGTAATTTGAATGGAAATGTAAGATTGTATCCAATTGGGAATTTGGATAAGATCACCTGAAACAACTGAAATGTTTGCAACCTAATGCAAGTAGTGTGGGCTATAAAACAAAAGAACTGGTACCTGTGTGTGAGACATGAAACTGGGTATTATAAGAATAATATAATATGGTGGAATAGTTGCTGTGACTGGAATACTGGTATTGAAAGCTGTAATTTTTTTAGGAAAGATAAAGATAAAAATATTGGAGTGGCATTGTGTGTTAAAGAGGTGGTTGGTCAGAATGAATTGTGATGATATGGACAAAACTGGATCTGTTTTGGAGGAACTTACACTAGGAAGGGATGGTTAGAAACAGCATTGTCAATTGTCTGTAAATTTAGAAACAGTCCATTTGAAGAGGAAAAAAAAGCTAAAATAAAAACCAGTTAAAATCCATTGTTGGGATGTGGCTGGTGTTGATGGACCGATACGAGTGTTGATGGACAGACAGAGCAGAGCAGCTCTATGTCCTCAGCGGATCATCCTCTATAGCCTCTGACCAGGAGCACAGCTCTCCTGTAGGTAGCTCTTCATCAGGACTTTGTTGCACACAAGAGCTTCCATCGCCCCCTCTGCCAGCCTAGTGTTGCCGGCCTGTAACAGCTGCTTGCCTGCACTTGAGGGCTGTACTGTCAGTCACTACTACCCTTAGAGGAGCCCATTACTTGACAGTTTGTGCTCTCCTTTGCCTGGGAAGGGGCAGGCTGTCAATAGCCAAGGGTTTTAAATTGCCTCTTGTGGAGCCCAAGTTGGCTGAATAGGGTGTGATTTAAAACTGGAAGCATAGGGAAATGGGGTTGGGGATAGCCTCCCCAACCTTGGCTTCCTGGTTTTTAAATCATATGGTCTGGCTGGGCAGCACATACAGGCCTGTGAATTTTAAATGCTGCGAACCAAGCTATGGGTAACGGGGCAGCATTTATAGCTAGAGTGACCATATGTCCCGTATTGGTCAGGACAGTCCTGGTTTTCAGAGGCTGTCTCAGCGTCCCAGCCATTGGAGAAAATTAAAACAAAAGTCCTGGATTTGGAGGAACCCACCTGCACGTGTGGCTCCTGAGGCAGGAGCTGGGCATATGCAAACAGGTTCACACCAGTCCAGGACTTCTGCTTCAGTTTTCTCCAGGGAGCCCAGCCAGTGAGTTGCTTCCTAGTCCAGCTGCGAGCTTCCACAGTAGTTGGGGAGCTGCAGGCTCGGAGTGGGGTGTGTGTGTGCGCACGTTCATGCTCATGTGGGGGGGTTGGGCCTGTGTGTGCGTGTGTGTGTGTGTGTGTGTGTGTGCATGCGCGTGTGCATGCGCGCATGCATGCCATGCTGTCCTAGCTGGCCCTGCTCCTGCGAGCCGTGGAAACAGGGCTGTGTGTATGTGCGCACATGTGTGTAAGGGAGTTGGGATTGTGCCACACTACCCCACTCCTGGGAGCTGCAGGGTTGGGGCGTGTGCGTACAGGCATGTGTGTGCCTGTATGCATGTGTAGTGGTGCCCCCCAGCACCTCCCGCTCCCATCCCATATTTTCTTACCCCTATCCTGGATTTCCCCCAAATTATTATGATCACCCTATTTATAGCTCAGGGACTAGGAACTTGGGCAGGAATAGCTTCCCTAGTCCTGGTTTCTGGCCCCTGGGATTTTGTAATCCCCATTCCCACCACCCAGTTTAGTCATGGGTGGGGCAAGTGGAAGCTGGCAGGGACCAGAAATCAAACTTTGGGGCAACCTCCCCATCCTTGTTCCTAGTCCCGTGGGCTTTGTAATCCCCATCTGTGCTGCTAAGTAGTAGGAGCAGCATTTAAAGCCCAGGAGTCAGGAGCCAAAGCAGAGAGGGGATGGACACATGTTCTCCTGGCCCCAGAACCCTCCCAGATCTCTAGAAGGGCTTCAGCCCAGGGTACCTGCACTCCTCTGGGTTGATCCAGAGAAGTGCACAGGGCAGGGACTCTTCTTTCTCCCAGCACATATGTAACATCTCTCCACTGCCTTAAAAATTGACAGAGAACTCTATAAGATCACAGGATAATTGAATAATAGTGGAAAATTTGTAATTAGGTGAGTCTTTAAATTGTCCAGTTTAGAAATGGTAACAGTAGCAGTAAAGCAGAGACATTTTTCATGAGATAATTAATCAAGTATAGCCCAGGTACCCTGCCTCAGTTTTCAGTAAGGATAAAAAAGTAAAGGAGAATGAGAATATAGTAACAGAAATTACCATATTTGAGGTGCAGGCTCATTGTGACAAACTTGGAGGACCCCGATAATTTGCATCTCAGAATATTGAATGAACTTGAATATGAATTGAATATAGGCTGTACAGGAGGGACAGGATAGGAAAGAGAGG